CCTCCCTCCCTCCCTCCCTTCCTTCCTTTCTTCTCAAAAGCAGGCAGTATTGGCAAGCTCATTTGGTTTAACCTCATTAGATCAAAACCTGAGAAAGTAACTCTTGACCTTAGCCTGAGAAATTTTGGGAGAGCTTTTGGAGCAGAAGCCAGACTGGAGTTGGAGAGAAGTGGCTAGAATGGAGACTAATAAGGGACTAGAATCTAGGACTTGGTGGGGTTGAGATGGGGCACAATCAAGGGTAATCCCCAAATTTCAGGTTTGGCAGCTGAGTGAGTGAATGGTTGTGTCAGCCGGTGAAACAGCAAGAGGTGCATATTTGGAGGGGGGATGTACACAGATGGGGAGGATATCATGAGTTTGGAGTAGGTGGAATTTGAGGTGCTTCTGAGTCTTCTGAGTGGGTTGATGAGCAGACATTTGGACCTATGGTTCTGGAGCCATTCATTACCACTTACATGTTCCTGACTTCTAAATACAGACTTTTGGGAGTCAAAAGCATGTAGGTGGGAATGAAATAAGTCAATAAATATTTATTGAGCACCTGCTATGTGCAGGCATTTTTCTAGGTGCAAAGGCTATACTGATGAATAAGACAAAGTCCCCCTACCTCTCTCTTCTTGGAGCTTACGTTCTATGGGGGAGGACAGACAATAGGCAAATAAACATCAAATAACATTAAGCTGCAGTAAATGCTAAATAGAAAATAAAGCCAGGGGCCAGCCCGCTGGCACAAGCGATTAAGTGCGCACGCTCTGCTTTGGCGGCCCGGGGTTTGCAGGTTTGGATCCCGGGCACGCACTGACGCCCTGCTTGTCAAGCCATGCTGTGGCAGCATCCCATATAAAGTAGAGGAAGATGGGCACAGATGTTAGCTCAAGGCCAATCTTCCTCAGCAAAAAAAAAAGAAAGAAAATAAAGCAGGGTTAGGGATTAGGGAGTGTGAGGAATACCTATTTTTGGTAGGTTAGTCAGGGAAGGTCTCTCTGAGGAGGCAGCATTTGAGAAGAGCCCTGGAGGAGGTGAGGGGGTGAACATGTAGATATCTGGGGAATAGGTAGGAAGAAGCTGGACAAGTTTGAGGAACCGCAAGGAGGCTGGTGGGGCAGGAGTGGAGTGAGGAGAGAGTGGTGAGGTTGGAGAGGTAGGCAAAGGCCAGATCTTGTAGAGCTCTGTAGACCTTGGGAAGGAGGATGGAAAGTCCTTTGTAGATAGGCCCAACCTGCTGGAAGGGCAAGGATTGGGCAGGAAGAGAGAATTCATGAGAGACTTCCCCTTCTAGCTGGGCCCCAGAGCCAGAAAAGACCCTTTGTGCAGAGGGTGGGTGGCCCATTCTGGGTGGGGGAAGGGCTGTGCTCGGTCCTGAGGCCTGCTCCTTGCGGGGCTGGACAATGGGCCACTTGTGGTTGGACTTGGGGGCTAAGTGGCCCTCTCAATGATGGGATTCCTCAGCCAGGAGGCATGTGACCCCAAGACCTTGCCTTCTTGCCAGAGGGTCTGGGCCTGCTGCTGGGGAATGGGGTGGGGAGCTGGGGAGAGGTCAGGGGGAGGGGCGAGGGGAACCTCCACTCTGGAGGCCTTCTCCTGAGACAGTGCCCTGCCCTGTCTCAGGCTGGAGGAGGTGGAGAGATGGGCAGGGGTCTGTGGCTCTGCTTGAGGGAGTGGGGGAAGGCTGGAAGCTGTGGGCAGGATCAACAAATGGTTTCCATAGCAGGGCGGAGGGAGGAGCTGGCCACCCCTGGGCCTAGTGGGTAGGGGCAAGCAGAAGATGGCTTGACGAACCTACATCTTGTGTCCATTCAGAAGAGGAGAGAGCATGGAGCTGGAGAGGATTGTCAGTGCAGCCCTCCTTGCCTTTGTCCAGACACACCTCCCAGAGGCTGACCTCAGGTAGAAGCAGCTCTCCTAGAAGGATCCTGCTAGGGCCAGGGTTGGAGCTGCTGGGCAGTACTCTGATCTCTGGCCAATGGAAAGAGCGGGGTGGGAAGCACTCTGCCTCATTCCTGAGGTGGGGGAGGGCTGATTATGATTTGCTGGTATGGCCTTTCCTCTTATCCTGTCCCTGTCACTTTTGTTGGACAGATGAGAAACCAAAGCTCTGAGGGAGGGTGGGATACTCGCTGGCCTCAAGGCTTGAGGTCTGGCTCATGGGACCCATGAAGCAGAGGACTGGAGTCTCAGGGTGGGTGGGGGTGCTGGAGGTATCCAGTGTCCTACCCAGGGCTTGTCCTATCTCCTTCCTGCAGCGGCTTGGATGAGGTCATCTTCTCCTATGTGCTCGGGGTCCTGGAGGACCTGGGCCCCTCAGGCCCGTCAGAGGAGAACTTTGACATGGAGGCCTTCACTGAAATGATGGAGGCCTATGTGCCTGGTTTCGCCCACATCCCAAGGTGGGGCCTGGCTGGGGCCAAGAGGAGGAGGGGGCTAGCTGATTGTGGAGGGTGGGCAGAGTTGTCCTCTTACCACCTTCCTTGTCTTTTTAGGGGTACAATAGGGGACATGATGCAGAAGCTCTCAGGGCAGTTGAGTGGTGCGAGGAACAAAGGTGCGTCTGGAGATCGGGCACTTGGGTGACTTGTAACCCCCATTCCCCAAAGCCCTGGCAAACCTGATGCTCTCTCTGCCTCTTCAAGAGAACCTGCAACCGCAGAGCTCTGAGGTCCAAGGTCAGGTGCCCATCTCCCCAGAGCCCCTGCAGCAACCTGAAAAGCTCAAAGAAGAGACTAGGTCTTCTCCTGCTGCTGGGGACACCCAAGATGAGGTAGTGGTAGAGGAGGGTACTGATGGGGGAGCTCGGGGGCAGGAAAGGAGGAAGTACTGCCTTTTGCCAACATTTATGCCCACAGGCAGCCGGCACTGAGGAGGAGCTGCTGCCAGGGGTGGATGTCCTCCTGGAGGTATTCCCTACCTGTTCGGTGGAGCAGGCCCAGTGGGTGCTGGCCAAAGCTCGGGGGGACTTGGAAGAAGCTGTGCAGATGCTGGTAGAGGGGAAGGAGGAGGGGCCTCCAGCCTGGGATTGCCCCAACCAGGTATCCTCTGCCAGACGCCCCCCACCAAAGTGTTAAGCCCCCATCCTGAGCCTATCCCCATCTGCTCCTCCTGCTGGTGCCCTGCAGCCTAGACCAGGCTTCCCCTCTCTGCAGGACCTGCCCAGGCGCCTCAGAGGCCCCCAAAAGGATGAGCTGAAGTCCTTCATCCTGCAGAAGTAAGTCTGGGCTGGGCTGGGCTGGGCTGGGCCTTAGAGGGTCTTCCCAGGGTGGCAGAAGCTTCACCCAGCCAGTTTTTGGCAGGTACATGATGGTGGATAGTGCAGAGGATCAGAAGATTCACCGGCCCATGGCTCCCAGGGAGGTGAGAGGGTTGGGGCTGCTAGGGGTGTGGAGTGGGTGGGACTGTCTCCTGGCTTCTGTGACTCACTGCCTGATTGCCTGACAGGCCCCCAAGAAGCTTATCCGATACATCGACAACCAGGTAGTGAGCACTAAAGGAGAGCGATTCAAAGATGTGCGGAACCCTGAGGCTGAGGAGATGAAGGCCACATACATCAACCTCAAGCCGGCCAGAAAGTACCGCTTCCACTGAGGCATTCACCGGACTCTGTCCGAGCCTTCTAGGCTCAGATCCCAGAGGGATGCAGGAGCCCTACACCCCCACACAGGGCCAGCCCTAATCCTGTCCCCCTTCTCCACCCCCTTCTCTACTTCCTTGCTCCACACTGTTAACCTCCTCTTGGAGCTGCCCATGGACACAGTAAAGGTGGCCCCAAGCAGGTTTGAGTGCATTCTGGTCATTTCTGCCTCAGAGCTGGGGTGCTGGGGTAGTGTGTCTGTCTTACTTTCTCTCCCAACCTCACGTCCCCTGTCTCCAACAGGGCAGCAGCGCCAGGCAAGAAGAGGTAAAAAAGCTCTTTATTTGAAGCTCAGGGTGGGGCAGGGCATTGCCCTCTCACCAGAGGCCCCCACAGTCCAGTTTCCCTACAGTTCATAGCCAGGCACCGCCACACAGTCCAGCTGTGCCCCACTGGCGGGCGGGTCAGACCTGCAGGTTGACAAAGGGTGCAAAGCCCGCCATGTCCTGCAGCAGCACCAAGGCCTGATGCAGCGGCGGCTCCACGTCTATGTCCACGCCGCGCTTCCGCAAGCGGCTCAGGCTGGGCTCGGCCACATGGTGGCAGTGCCGCACCCGCAGCGACCGCAGCGCCGGGCAGTACTCGGCCAGTGTCCTGCGGGAGGAGCGCGGTGAGGCTAGGGGCACGTAGTCGCCAGTAAAGCTCCTGTCTCCCTTCAGCTCCGGGCATATGTTTTCCCTCCACGCACGAGGGAGGGGCCTGGATTGGGGTCATACACTCTGCCTCCAGTGAACCGGAGACTTCCTGTCTTTTAAAGGGGGAACCTGCTGCTCCGCTCCGCCCAGGATTGCAAGGTTCTCCCCTTGTTGAAGAAAAGCCAGAAATCTGACTTTGCATGTGAAATTTCCAAATGTGTAAATAGTGGTTCAAAAAGTTTTTAAACTGCTGGCGCTCTGGCCTACGCAATCCTAGAGGCCTTTCCTGTTCAGAATGGGGGTGCCTTGGTAGCAGAAAAATCCAGAAACCCCAGTTCTGCCTTTTGACGACTACAGCCCGCCCCTACCCTCAGAGGCTAAGCAAGTGATTGCCCTCCTCCCATCCCACCGACTCCAGGCCCAGGCACCTGACGCCGTCGCTTCCAACGCGGAGGCAGCCGGTTAGGTCGAGGTGCTCGAGTTCCGGGCAGTTCCGAGCCAACTCCTGGACGGCGGCGTCCCCCACATTGGCGTTGACTGCCAGCGAGAGGCTGCGGAGGCCCGCGCCGCGCCTCTGCACCAGGTACACGATGGCCTCATCCTTGAGCTGACGGCAGGCGGTGAGGTCCAGCTCCCCAAGGGCCGGACAGCGGTCGGCGAGGCCGCGCAGCGCCAGCCCGTCTACCCAGTCACAGTGTGCGAGCGACAGGCGCTGCAGGCGAGGGCAGCCCTCGGCCAGCGCCCCCAGCGCGCGGCGGCTCAGCTGCCCGCAGCCCGCCAGCGACACAGTCCGCAGCTGCGGATTCCGCGCCAGCACCGGCACCAGATCCTCGTCCGACAGCCATTCGTGACACGGCGCCAGCGCCAGCTCCTGCAGCCCCTCGGCGTCCCGCAGCAGCCAGGCCAATGCAGCCCGCGGGATCTGCGGACCCACCTGCGGGCGGGGAGGCACCTCGACCCTCAGCTGGCCCCGAGGGCCGGGCAGGCGCTGCCTATCCGCCCCTGAGGTCTTTCCTGGCAGCTGTCCGCCCTCGGGACTCGCCACCTGCCCCCCCTCCCCAGGAGAGAACCCGCGCGCCCTCTGAGTTGATACCCGGTACTCGCCCTTTGAGTACTTCTCGCTGGGTGGATGCTTCCCGGGCATTCCTGGAGGCCCAAGGGGGTTCGGAAGCGTAGACAGCGGGGCTGGGGGCTGGGGGCTGGGGGCTGGGCTGGAGGCGGGGTGGGGGCGGTACCCTGACGGGGGCGGGGCTCCGGCTCACCTGAGCGGCGTCGAATCGGCGCAGCCCCGCCAAGTGCAGCTGCACTAGCGCCCGGAAAGCCCGGCTGACGCGCTGCAGCCGGAGCAGCTGGCGCAGCGGCACCCGGCTCAGAATGTATGGGAGCAGCACGTCTTCCCAGGGCAGGTCCAGGAGCCTGCGGGTAAAAGGGCGTTGGCGGCGGCGTCCCCGGGCCGCTGTTACCGGCGAGTCCACCTCCGTTATGCTCCTGCGCCCCGCCTCCTAAAAGCGGCCCCCAGACCCGGCCCCGGTTTAGCTCCCCTCCCCCAAATCCTTCTTCTCTCTCTCGGCCCCTCCGGTGCTCGGTACCTGACGGCTCCTGGCACTTGCTCCCCTCCGGACGGCTCCATCGGTGGCTCCATCGGCTGTCTACTGCGCGTGCGCAGTAAGGTCTTCTCGCTTTGGCCTTGAAGCGGTCGCAGCGAACCCGCCTCCTTGGGCGGTAGAGACAGACCGATTCAATCGAGTGCCATCTCACTGAGGATCCTATCTGAAAGCGTTCGGGATGGATCCCGAAACTGAGGGCGGAACAGACCGGTGGTGTAACGTTAGACCTCTCCTTCTCAGCTGCTACATGGCCCGAGACCCGAGCCTGGAGAACGCGATGGTGCAGCAGAGACTGGCTTCTTTTTTCGTCTTGGGCCAGTGGCCGCCTCTGAGTGAAGTGGTGATGGGAGGAGCAGGCAAAGCCAAACGCAGAAGGGGCGGAGCCAGGACTCCAAGATTCGGGTCCTACCCTCTGCCCTCCGGTCGCGTTTAGCGACTTTGAAAAATGGGGAGAAACTATTGAGGCTCTTACTGTCTGGCACGTAGTAAGTGCCCAATAATTGGTGAATGAATTGAATGGGCGAAACTAGCGTTTTTCTTCTTTCATCAAGCAAACTTGCCCAAATCTCCCATTCCTGGTTAACTGTGAACTACAGGGCTATCCAGTCCCTTCCATTCCCGGACGATTTGGAATGGGTTTACACCTTGGGGAGAGATACGTAGAGGGCGCTAAGAAAGACTATATCTCCAGCCTGGTCCCTTTCCTTTCCCCAGGAGGTCTAGAGTCCTGAGAAGAATGAGTGCTCAGCTTAGCCCGCCAGGAGTTCTGTTTCTCGGTTGGCCTGGGGGTTTAGTTGTGGGGTATGCGGCTAGCCCTTCCTGGGGCAGTGACGCTCCAGAGCTCTGGGCTCAGACTAGGGGCCGCTCTCACCGCGTCCCCAGGTCCTAGTTCCAGGGTCCGCTCCGGGGAACCCCCGGAGCAGTGCTTTTTTCCCCATCATCCATTGGTGGGGAGGGTGTGAAGAACACCGAGGGCTAACCCTGTCGCTGGGAGCTGCCCCAATCCCCACCCCCCCAGCAGGGTTGCACTCTCTTTGGTGCAACTGCTTCACCTGCCTCTTCATAAAGAAAACTGCTTCCCATCCATTATCTCATCAGGGCTTCGGGCACTTCTGCAAGGTGGGCAGGTCTGTCACTTCACTTTAAAGATGAAACCGAGGCCCTGGAGAGGAAGCGCCTTGTCCAGGGTCAAGCGAGTCGGGATAGAGAACTCAGGCATCCTGGTTTTCCCAGAATCCCTTCCATACTCCGCCCCTCCCCCCCAAGGCAGCAAGAAGGGAGAAGCCATTAGCCGGGAAGGACCAAAGAGGGTCAACTTGGGTGATGGACTTGCTCCCTCTTCGCCAGCCAGCTTGGGGAGGGGGTAGCTGGGTAGACCTACCTCTGCTAAGATAGAGCCACAAGGGCGCGCACCACTTCGGGCCGCGCGCCTCCTCCCCCTCTCCGCTTTGTTCGAGCCTCTGCGCCTGCGCAGTGCGACAAATCTGGCGCTGTCCCCTTCAGCACCACGCCGAGCCCGCGCCGCCCCTCCCCGCGGTGAGCCCCGCGCGCCCCCGCCTCGCAAGTCCTCGCGCCCCCTGGCCGCCCGAACAGACCCCTTCCTTCCGAGGTCGCCGCTTGCCTGCCCTGGCATTCCCAAGGAAAGCAGTCGCCATAATAACTCTAGCGGCGCTTTCTTAAAATAGCAGGGCCCTCTTCTACCTTGGCCAAGGGCATAAGGGTTGCCTGTCCCCCACTTCCTCCAGTCCCGCTTCATCCCATCCAACCTCTTACCCCAAGTCGGACAAGAGACCTAAGTCAGGCAACAAGGAAGTTCTTTCTGAAGTCTGACTAACATCCCTCCTGCTGCATCCTGGGCGAATGGTCAGGGTTGGGTCTCCTGGGTCCGAGACTGAGAACCCCGGAGGGTTCGAGGCGGTGTTCCCTAGATCTCTCTTCCATAAGTTAGTCTCCTGGATTTAGGGCGCGGGTCCAGTCTACACCCATACCGTGTGCTTGGCGCGGCCGCGTGCTCGTGGGGGCGGGAGCGCGTGTGGCATGTAACAGGTCATGTGGCAACCTCCTAGGGACACGCGTGGGGTCTGGAGCGGGACACGCGTGTGCAGCTGGGTCCTGCCTGTGGCTCAGGGGGCGGTGGACGAGAGGCACGTGGACACGATTGGGGTGGGGCAAGTGAGGGTCTGGGGAACAGAATCAGGGGTTCCATACGTCCTCCCCCTCGTCAGGGGCGGGTCTCAGGTTGGCGGGAGAGCCCAGCAGGGACCTAGCGTCGAGAAGGGGGGCAGCCTCCGGGGCTCAGGGCCCCAAGAGAGGGCGAGGGGGTGGCTGGGGGGATTAGCTCTGCCTGAGCCGCGCGTAGGGGGGAGGAGGAGGGACTGAGAGGTGGGAGGGCCGGGAGCAAGCAGGAGCAAGCGGGAGCCGCGCTGCCTTCACAGCTAAGCTGGGCCCAGCCTCTCCCCTGCCTCTCCTCGGCCCCAGCTCCGGGCGAGCAGCGGTGAGTACTGAGGCGGCTTGAGTCCGGGCTGCACTGGGGAGGAGGTGGGCCCCGATTGAGCTTCAGGAACCCGCCTGGCAGGGTTGCTGCTCCTGACCTCTGCCCCTACCCTGTGTTGCCACCAGAGGCCCCTTTACCCCTTTATGGTCCCTCCTGGGCTGGATGAGATCTATCATACCCCTGGGGGGTACGGGGGAGAGGGGTCTGGTGCAGCCTTCCCTTCCAGAGACCAGTGACTAGTGGGGGTTGGGGGAGAGAGTGTGTGCTCCTCGAGTATGTGTGTAAGTGTGCATCTGTTTTTTGTGTGTGGTTGTGACCAATAGGTCTCTGTGAATGTCTGATATGCCTGTGTCTCTGTGTGCATTGGAGAATGAGGGCCTGTGTGTATATTTGGGTATCTCTTTGTG